ATTAAGGTTAGTTTAGTGTCGTGTCAGTTAAAAGATGTTAAACATTTATAATTAATCTCAACATCTTATTAAAGAGTACATTAAGGTGACTGCAAATTTTACAGAAGAGTTGGCAAGAATTAAGTTAAGGACTGATTTCACTAAATAATGAAACAAGAATGTTAAGAATCAATAAAACCTACAATAGAGAAACAGATACTGTTTTAGTCGTAACAGTAAAATACTTTCTAAATCAATAAAATAGTTACAATTTTGAAAAATTTCATTAGAATCTGGTGAATTTGATACTTTTTTATTTTTATTCCACAATTTGTTTGTAACATCCAAAGACCATTTATTTTGCCTGTATTTGCAGACCCTTTCGAAAATTTTTTCAAGAGGATCGCCATTCACAAATATAGTTTTAGTGTAGTCTGAGTCTAGGTCTGAGTCTGAAGTATCAATCTCTAGTGGACTGTCTATTCACCTCTTTATAAATATCTAGTTGTACCCGACCACGCTTCGCTGTGGCATATTGAAATTGCATTTTTGACAAATGAGGAACAAATTGACGTGAAAAATAGATAAAAATTATCCTTGAAGCTAAAAACTATAAAAGCAAAATTTGTATTTTGTATTAAAATTTAAGCTTAATCGGTGCTGAGTACTTTTTGAGTTTGATGTTGAGATGTGTCAAACATCATCATCAACAGCCTATAACAGTCCACTGCTGGAAATGGGCCTCTCCTTAGAAAGGAGGTTTTGGCCTACTATACCACGCTGGCCAGACGGGTTGGTATAGGGTTTGTGTCAAGTTTTCTTTCTCTTTGCAGTGCTGTTGTCCTGCGTAGTTTGATACCTTAGTCGACTCTTACGACACGGGATGAATAGGGGTGGTGACATTCCGTATTATTAATCCGTCACCACACAAACCAGCTTAATATTTAATATACATAGATCAAACCGATATTCATATGGGCAGCAGATTTATAAATAATATCTCCAGGCTGCTACACCTGCATGCTAATACACCATCATTGGCTCTTCACATACGAGCACTTCCCATAAGTACAATAAGTTAGGAAAATATGTTAAGCTGCGTATCAAATACATTATGTAAATGAAAGTCTGTGTTTTCCAATAATCTGAATTTTGACTAGCTTGCGTTCATGAATATGCTAATGAATCCTTCCTTGCCTACCTTTATATTTTTTGTATCGGTTAGGATATTTCAGTGTCTTTTAAACGTGTATACAAAGTGTATAAAAGAATCGACTTGGGCCTTGTAAATCACGGTCTTTTACTACTTTTAAATTGAGTTGCAAGATTTTTTGTTGAACAGACATAACAATTGTTTATAGTGATTTAAGATCTCTAATCTAGTGCTATGCAAATTCCCGTATTTAAAACGATAAGAGAGATTTTTTGTCATGAAAGCTGTTCCATAAAAGAAAGTTTTAATGTTATAATTTCAAAAGGCGCTAGATTTGTACAAATGATTCTTTATATAATGTTTAACACTGTTTTCTGAGCTTTTTTTTAGACGAGCAGAATTTTATAGACTTCTTTTAATATACAACTACTTTGTATTTAACTTTTAGATCATCTGGCAATTGGCTTCATATGAACAGAGTTTTTACACCGCTGGACGTAGGCCTCTCCTTAGAAAGGAGAATTTGGCTTATTAGCCAAAAATTTGTTCACATATCTGTAAGCCATCCAGCCAAGGGTTGACTCCGAGTTAAAAAATGATTTTTAGAGAGGGTATATCTTAATTATTGTTTTATCTGTATTTATTAAAGTTGGGGTTCTATATAATTTAATAAATAACCTAAATTTTATACGTTTACATTAAATAGATTATTACATTATTTTTATTTGATTATTGGGGCGTAGTAATAGAAAAACAAACACTGACTGCACGGATGGCGTAGTGGTTTAAGCGGTCGCCACGCCGCTCACCATTACGCTGAGTGCTGTGGGTCCGATCCCCACATGGGACGACACTTTGTGTGATTTACAAATTGTTGTTCTGAGTCTGGGTGTTCTTTGTGTCCGTTTCATGTGTGTTTGTAAAGTCCCCCACGACACAGGATTTATTCCTAATGCGGGAGTTGTCTTTAAAAAAAAAGCCTCACTTTTCTGTTAGAAAACCTACAGATTTATGTAACATATGAATAAATTTCCTTCAAGATAAAGGTAAAAAAGATAACTAAATTTAAGCTTTATCAATATTTTAATGGAAACAAGATTAACTTTATTCTTCATATTATTTTCCTTTGAAAAAACCGTAAGAAAACACATACAAAAATTAATGGACTAGGTAATACGAGTAATAAAAGTAACTTAATCACATCATCACATCAACAGCCTTTAATAGTCCACTGCTGCTGCTTTAACTTAATAATAATAATTTATTGACCAAACGTTCAGAACACGAAATTCAAATAAAGACTCATTAACGTTACCAAGCAAGCTGTGCCCGAACCAAGTCTGTTTGGACGTCTTCCTACAGCTTACAGTTCGTCCTAAATTCGGCAGTTTTAGTTCGGGTCGATGTCGGTTGAGCGCAGTATGAATCATCCTTTATTCGGACCACGTCCGCCGCGCAAGGGCTACGGATATTACGTATCCGAGCGCGCGGTCATTCGTACCCGGGGTGTTATTGCACGGGTTATTGAGTTATCTTGCTTACACATTGTTAGTAATTTGGGACGATTTATTTTCTTTGGAAAGGATAATGAAGAATTAGGCTGAAATGTATCAAGTACATAGTACGTTTGTTCAATATTTTTTGTACTACATACTATTACAGATTGATGATGGCAACCCTGATAACTTTATGGGGATAACGTTATCCATACATAATTAACAGGCATAGATTTTCAATGCCCTAAAAACTACCTCTCAAACAATTTACCCGCCTCGTCCAGCAGCACGATGGACCTGTAGGCCGCGACCGAATCGGCAGGCCGTCCCGGCTTCCTTAAAAGGACCAGCTTCCCGCTCTTCCAGCACTCAGGGAAACGTCCTGACGCCAAGCTAGCGTCGAACTCCTCCCCGAGGCGGTCTGTCATGTGGTTGAGGGCTAGGGCCAGCACTCGGGCCGGTACCCCGTCTGGCCCAGGGGCGGTGTTCTTGGAACGGATCCGTAGAACAGACGCCCCTACCTTCGAATCCCGGACGGGCGGAACATCATCCTCCTCGTGCTCCCCGTCGTCTCCGGCCAAGGAGGCCATCGCCGGGGGAGTGTGTTCGGGAAAAGGCCCTCAACCACTTCTCGCAGGAAGCTGGTCTGGAGAGTCTCCGTAAGGGGGGGGGGGGGGGGGCCGACGCGCGGAGCTTTTGTCGCGCCGCGCGGTAAGGCCGACCCCAGGGGTCACGATTAAGACCCTCCAGCATCTCCTCTCTCTTTTCTTCTTTGGCGCGGCTAATGGCCAGCTTCAGAGTTTTCCGCGCCTGTCGGTACTCCTCATGAAGCCGGTCCTCCTCACCGTCTCCACGGTGACGCCACCGACTGCGCGTGTAGGACCTCCGGGCACGTGTACAGGCCGCACGGAGGTCCGCCAGCTCCTGGGACCACCAGTAGACCTCCTTCCTTGGAGGCCGACGACCTCGAATGCGGGGCATGGCCGCATCGCAGGTCGGAGCCTGAGGAGACAGCCACGAGTGAATTATGGCTGCCTTCTCTTGTAGGTCCCGGTTCAGTCTGGCAACAGCCCACCGCGGAAAGCGGGATAAACGCCGCGCCACGTGACCCCTACTGGAGTCCTGGGTCCGGGAGAGCTCAAATCGGATATAGAGATGATCCGAGAGCGTCTCAACCTCTTCCAGGACACGCCAGTTCCTTACTCGTGCGGCGAGGGCAGGGGTAGCGAACGAAAGGTCCACTATCGACCCCCACGCAATGGACTTTGCGTTGAAGTCCCCCAGCACAAGGACGTGCCCAGACGCTAGTCGCCGTATCGAGGTCTCCAAGCTGGTTACTTGACACAAACCCTATGCCAACCCGTCTGGCCAGCGTGATATAGTAGGCCAAAACCTCCTTTCTAGGGAGAGGCCTATGTCCAACAGTGGACTATTAAAGGCTGTTGATGATGATGATGATGTTGATGATTAAGTATAATTAGTTTACATTCAGCACTCTTCTCGCTTGTAATAATATAAACCCAAAAGTTTCCTTTCACAACTGCAAGTCAATGTTAATATTTCAATGCAATGTACTAAAGATTGGGATTCCAAAAAAAAATACAATAATACACAATAGCGATTTATTTCTTGAATCAACGTTAAAAATAAACTCATAGTTAATTATTTCCAGTCTTAAATTTAACTTTACTTTAACACAATTAGCACCTTTGTATTTAATATTTAAAAATATATTAACTTCAGGAACTACAAAAAGTAATTTAACTTAAAATTCTTCTGAATAAGTTAACTTTTAGGGCTTTTTCTTCCGCATGTTAAGAACTCAATTAAAAAGTCCAAGCTTTTGCATATATTCTTACTCAAACTTCCCGATATATTACATTGTAAAATTAAATTAGTCCATAATATTCAAAGTCTTAATTTTGTAGCTGCATGCAACAAAATGCTGGTATATTCGCATGTAAAATGCATGCACTAATGTATTATATAACCTGTACTTACATCGGAAAGTCTCAAGCATATTGCACTTTGTATGATCACCATGAGAAAACATTATTTGAACTAAATTATCGTATAATTCTAAGGATATTTTGATGAAATATTCATTTCACCAGATGTTTCATAAATACAAATAATTCGATACTTCCAATTTTATTCCGTCTTTTTCATTCACGTTATATGTGACTTGTTAAAAAGAGATAATTATTGTTCAGAATAATACAATTTTATTCAAAGTAAGTTTTTCTCTGCTTAGCACGATAATTATATTTTTGTTTATCTAGCATAAGAACTAATTAAATCAGTTTATGACCTAAACTTTTGAGAACATCTTTGTGAAGTTTGTAATTCCCAAAGATATTTTTAAATGATTCTTAAAAGCTCAAATTTATTCCATCATCTTGGCCCATAGTCAATTCATTGATCAAGGACTTCTGTTCCGCTGACATCGAACTCCTGAGGCTAGCCACGCAAGTTTTGCTTCTTCTTAAAGGTGGTCTACCTCGGATTCTTCCTTCGTATTTGTGCCTCTTATGATTTAATGGACTCTCGGAATCTGAAAGCTCGTCGCATTTGCGTTTCGAAGACGATGATGAAGAGTTCAAGGATGTTGATCTGTGAGGTGTTGTAGATGCTGAAAGTTGAGATATATTGTTAATTTATATTATTACGGTATACAGAAAGATGGATCAGAGCTTACAAAAGATAGTTATAATATCTTAATTTTTTTTCAATAATATCTTTATTTTTCAATAAAATGACACTTTAAATATTAATTTGTGGTTGAAGCCTCTTTTTAAGCAAACAATGCCTGTGTTAGGACACTCCGCTCTTCCATAACTAAATGTAAATTAAACTATTATGTGTCTATGAGCTGTGTACGTGTTGTGTATGCATGTGTGTGTGTTCGCGTGTGTGTGCATGTGTGTGTGTGTGTGTTGGTGGGTTTGGGTTAGTTAATGTCTTGTAAGTATGTTTCAGTAACTTCATAGGCTTTAGCCAGGCCGTTACAAGTTTCTTACATTCATACCAATTTTTATTATATATATTTATTTCTTTGTTTATTCTATTGTATAATTTGGCAGCGCGTTTAGTGTATTCTCTGTTAGCAATTTTTTTTGTTTTTTTTTTTTCAAAATTATCAGATAGTTGGTGAAAGTTATCACAATTTATTGACACTAATGAAATGGGAAACGAGTTTGGTTGGTAGAAGAAGTTTCACACAAACTTCCCTGTGACTTATAAACACTCCAGGACTTACGCTTTTGATTAAGCATGATCATAAGCAAATGTTGAAATTCGAGGACCTGAAATAATACCGTTTAAAAACTGTTTGAGGATATTATAATTGACATGTTTTAAAGATTTTTTTTTTTGTAGTTTATACATAAAATTATATAGTACCTACACATTCATGTGCATTTATTTTATGGTATTGTGTTAGTTTCATTTTTTAAATAAAGACAACTTCCGCTCAAAGAATATATGTGTCCTGTATTGCAGGAACCTTGACAAACATTCAGGCAACGAACACAAAAATACCTACACTCAGAACAACAATTTCTGGATTACACAAACATGCGCTGTGCGCAGTAAGAAGCGACGAGGTGACTGCTTAAACCACCACACCATCCGTACAGTAAAAAATTACTATTAAATAATTTCTATATAACGTTAAAAAAAGTATCACTAACTTCTATTTGCCCACATCAAGAGGATTTATAATATTCTGTATTCTTCATTCGTGTGATATTATTTCTTCAAAGTTAAATGGTATTAAACGAGAAATATACACTCCCGTTTTTGGCATCGGTGGTAATTCAAGCTGCAAAATTGTCTAGTGTTGTGTTATTGCCAAAATAAACGTTTTTTCTTTCTTACTTCTTCTTTTTTTTCTTTCCATAAAAATAAAAGGACTACCCAAATCTATGCATGGAATGAATGGAGTTCTAAGGTAAAAACATAAAAACTTAAACCAAGTTAAGAACTTTCTTATTTTCTTAAGTCGCCTAAAAAGATATGATTACATCCATCATATTCCGGTTTGACCTAATAAAACAAAGTTGGAAACATATTTCATTAAAATGTCAAATCCGATACAAAAACATCGCTATGCGAAAGAGATAGCCACCCTTCGCCGGCGTAACAAAAGCATAAGTCTGGAAAGTAATAAATTTTAAAGAAAAAAAGATTTGCAAAAAAGGCGGTAGAGCGTGGTGCCTCGGAAAATGATTGAAGCGAGCCTTCTCATGAATAGAAAAATGCAATATTGTTAGATACTTGACACAGAACGGAATCACGAGCCGTTGCAAAATTTACAATTTGAATTTTACTTATAAAGACTTGCATTGAAAAATGAATAATCGAGATTCATAGACACTGAAACAGGCATTTTTATATATAAAAACTTTAAAGTTTAACCCTCCTGTAATTTACTTGCTCACGTTGTCAATTGTTTTTCGACAATCATAAATTTAGTTTTTAATATCCAAAAGTCGACGCTGGACATCGGGTTATTCCAATGTTACATAATTAAATATCAAGTGGATATCGCTTGGTAACTAAAATATCTCTGCTGTTTTAAGAGTACAAAAATAAGAATTACTTTTGAAATATTGTGCTACTTAGAAATACTCTGTAGAGTAAACTGCCCGTGAAGAAAATATGCTGGTCAAAGCTTGATGCGACCGAGACGAACATTTTAAAATAACGTTATTATTAATTAACTTCATTATTCACCAGCCTTTGTTTCTGTCTTCGTTTGCCTTATTTAGCATATGTAAAAAGGGACAAAAGCCAAAAATATTTGGCTAAAAGACACACTAAGACAGCACCTGGTAATATTCCAGGTCACTCGACATCCAATACCAAAAGTTTTAAACGATATCCATCCAAGTTTTGGTCGTTTCGGATGGTCATAAAGCTGCTTTGTAAAACTTGTCAAGTTCTTTATAAGTTTCGATTGTGAAGTTCCCAACAGGGGAGGTTGAGCGTGACGAATTATAACTTTATGGAACGTCGGTTTTTTCCTCTAGTGCAATGCAAGGGAATTAATTTGACGAATTTAGTGAAATGGGCATTGGTTTGGCTGTTTTTGCTATCAGTGATTTTTTGATTCATAAATGGCTGAGTTCTGCCGAAGTTAGTTTATGCCTATCAAGACATTTCTAATAAATCGAATTATGAGGGCTTTTAGTTGAACAAATTGGAAATAATTTGAAAACCCATATAAGTGTTTTATTTAGTTTCTGTTTAACCTTGAACTAAAGAACGAAAGTTTTGCGGGCGTTGCTCCCTACACTTAAATCAGGTTAGAGTTTTACTTACAATGTATAATTTTTAGGACGATCACAATGCAAACCCCTAGCAAGTCTCATATTGTTCTTTTACTTCACTCGACTTAGCTGACTTAGCTAGGGCGAGTAGTATTGTGTCAATTTAAATATCAGGCGATCAGTATTTGCGAGTCTCTAACATAATAAACGTACAAAGTTGTCTATCATGGTCGTTCTTAACTTTGATAAGATCCTGTGAAGAGACCTGCTTTCAGCTGAGTAATATTAAATGATGATGATGATGAACTGAAACTCTAAGTAGCTATTACCAGAGAATCCCAGTGCTGTAACCACTAGAAAAGTAAACTAAACTAAGTAAACTAAACTGACTAAGTATTCCTTTAGTTAATCGGTTGTTGGATATCGTAATAAATATAATTTATAAATGTATTATTGAAGTTTAAAAGTTAGTACAAGTTTTTTTTTTGTCTACTTTTATTCTTCTTGTCTACTTTTATTTACTCCTAAGGGGAAATGTAATTTAAGTTATGATAGCATATATAGGAGTGCACGGATAGCGTAGTGGTTTAAGCGATCTACAACTCACTACTGCGCTGAGTGGGTGCGATCCCCACATGGGACGACACTTTGTGTGATCCACAAATTGTTGTTCTAAGTCTGGGTATTCATTGTGTCCGTTTCATGTATGTTGGTAAAGCCCCCCGCGATATATTCCTAATGCGAAAGTAGTCTTTTAAAAAAAGAAAAAGAGAGATTTCTTTAAAAAGAGTATATGTATTTTATATATAGTGAGTTCGTACGTCATTATGATACTTCTGGACTTACAATATTTAATGCACTACAGTAACAGACTAAAAATTATGAAACTAATGAGAAAACGTGAGGCGTTTATGAGCGACGGTAGTTACTTACCATCAGGTGACCTATCTGCTTGTTTGTCCCCTCTATCATAAAAAACATATTTCAATTATCCTTTAATATTAAAAGTGCAACATATACGGGTATTTCCAATAATTTGACTGTCTTTGACCGACAACTATTCGTTTGTCTAATAGGTTTAACGAGTAAACTTGATACAAAACTTTCAATTGTTGATGCAGAACGGTAATTGCACGGATGAAGTAGTGGTTTAAGCGGTCGCCACGCCACTTACTACTACGCTGAGTGTTTTGGTGACGACACTTTGTGTGATCCACAAATTGTTGTTCTGAGTCTGGGTGTTCTTTGTGTCCATTTCATGCATGTTTGTAAAGTCCCCGGCGACACAGGATATATTCCTAATGCAGGAGTTGTCTTTTAAATTAAAAAAAATTAGCTTAAGTGGCTAATTTACCTGTTGCAATACAGGTAAATTAGCCACTTAAGCCATTTTTTATTTATTTAAAAGATTTATTATTTGTCTTTGTAAAAATTTAATGGCTGTTATTGAACGTAGTATAGTTTTATTTTTCTTTAATTTTAAAAGAGGTTTGCCAAAAATAACATTTCTCAACGTTGACAAAACTCAACCAAGAGATTCCCCTTCTACATCATCCCACACTTTCCCATAGTAAGCTGAATTCGATACAACCCTAAAGTACTCTCATTTTACTAAAAGCCACGTAAACACCGCCCATTCGTTGAGATTTGAAATTCACTCCTATTTTAATATCAAAAGGTCTATTTTTGAGCAAAAAGTTTTGTGAAGAAGTTTTGATCGCTAAACATGATGAGGTTGTCAATATTTGGCCGAAGTGTTTACCTTCTGCCTGGGGGCGAGTTAATGCGTTGATTTAAAGTGTAATTATAGGAAAATTGTCGAAGCCCTAGAATATTATTATTGGAAAATTGCTTGATCGTTTAGAAATAGCTTTTGAAAAGCGTAACTTAAAAGGTCAATGTAAATTAATTCAATTATTCAATAACAAGATGCCAAGGTTACGATATTCTTTTGTTATATCTTACTTAGAAGTTACTAATAAATATTGGGCGATCTAGATTAAACTGTATTATGTTAAGTCAAATTAAGACGTGAAAATAATTTGGAGAAGTATTTTTTATCGTAGGCAAAAAAATATATACTCATGCCTATATCCGTGAAGGACCAGGGAGGGGTAAATTAAATGGCACGGTTAGAAGGCCTTGACTTTCTAGTGACAGCAAATCCGAGTTACAAGAATACTACTCTGACATGTACCACTTATGCCTTTACTCAAGAATCACTTTCAAAACAATATTTATTTAGATGAATGGTATTTTTTTAATTAAATATTGTAAAAGTTATTAATGCAATTATTCCTGTATCTCAAGAAGTCTGAGCTACTAGAACTGAAGTAAAAATTTAAGATTTTCTTGGTCCTTTACGACTAGTGATGAATTGGCAATTACAGATTTTGGATTATCCGTTTATAACAATTCAGTGGAAAAGGTCCACATGGATTACGACCCACATCAATTGACATGTCAACTATAAAGTTATTGTGGAACATAATAACAGAAAATATTTGACAAACGTGAAAATTAATATACGTTTAGAAGAATTATTGAAAACAGAAACACTTCCAGGACTAAAATAAACAAGTTAAAGCCACACCATTACCAGGCAAGGAATCCAATAAAACCTACTTACCGAAATTAGCAGCGTTTTCACCCCAAAACACATTTCTCACGGCCCTCGCCACGCTCGACCAGATGTTCTCCTTATTCGATTCCTGATTTCTTTCGATTACACTCAATTTCTCATCGAGCCCCTCGCATTCTTCCGCGAGCCTCTTAACGCTAACTTTCCTTTTCGTTATAACGAACTTGAACTGTATCTCTGTTTCTTCTTCTATATTCATTAAGACAGAAGATAGACAGTTTTGTAGACCTCCGACAATGTTTGATGTTAATACTGACATCGCGTTCGCTTCAGGCACATCAATACATGTTCTGAATAATTCACTCCCTTCTCTTGTGCTTTCCGATTCGATTATTGGGCTGTCGTCCTTGAAGTTTATAGCCCTTGCTGGAATATTAGAAGGCTCCCCTACAGGTGGAGTATTTTCTTGGTCGTTTATATTCTTATCTCTCATTGTAGGTGTTCTTGCCATTGTGGCACCTTGATTTTCAAACCGATTTATGAGAGCTTGGAAACGTGGGTTGTAACAGAACTTTGGCCTTTGTGGGCCAGGTGTAAGCATTCTTCTAGGTTTTCTCATCACTGAAAAATGTGTATAAAATTGTATGAAATTAATTATTTGAGTCACCTGTGTCTGATCCCTCAGTATCTCTATACTTTCGGACTCAGACTGCTGATGAACAAACTTATTTATTTTTAAATATATATGTATATTATAGATAAAGTAGACCCAGATATCTGGGTGCGAATCGACCCCTCGACCTTGATCTCGGTAGTCAAAATAACTAAACTAATATCTCACTCAATAAATGTATATTCTTAAGAAGTAATCTAACAATATGAATATCATACTCGTGTAAAATTAAACCTTACAAGAATTTTAATACTAATGTACAGTATCGTCGTTGTGAAGGCGTCCGTAAATTGATTAATAAAACGCTTGGCGTGGGAGATATTAGATTAAATAAAAACGGTCTTATTACCTTAATGTAATGGATATGACAAGGAGATTACATTATACGGTAGCTGTCGGTAAGGTTTTATTCCTTTGACAAAGTTCGTGATATACTAGATACATATTTCATTTAATCATTGTTTATTCATTTTTATTAAGAATGCTGTCAAGAATCAAAACCGTAACAGAATGTAAAAATCACAATAAAAATATTAATTTTAAAACTTCACACAACCTAAACACATAATCAAGAAAAAAAAATGAGTTCTAGCGGTAACGGATAAAACATAACACAGTTTCACCATGGGTAAAAGAAAAAGACGCATTTTCCCAAAGAAGAAGAAGTCAGTTTTCAGCAGACCACACCCGATGAGGAGGAAAATGGCATTGAAACAGAGAAGAATGAAGGCGTTTATACACAAGAATGCTGTCCATCGGAAATAAATTTCAGATCACACTATATGTTTTGTTTGCATATTTTAATGTATGATAGAAAAATTATATGGTAATAAGTAAATATAAAAACATCACATCAGAACATAAAACATTGTACAGGCTATATACTCGTACAACAAACAAAAAATATTTTTGCTTCTTTTATAAGTATAAAATAATGATAATCCTAATTTTCCTGTTAGGTTTTATTATTTCACTGCCGTGTAGACGACGTTCATTACATTAGATTGAAATAACGAAATACTGAGAATGCTTTATTTAGTTCTTAAAGTATCATACTTCATGTTGCAAAATAAACTGCCCAATATTCATATCACTTCTGCTCCGAGCCATATAAAACTTAACTTATGCAGATGACATTATGTACTCGTATGCTACTATCTACAAATAAACGAACTTACTTGAGTGAGGATATGGCTAGGAAGGGAGTAAATAGTGAGATGACGAATGATAGAGCAGAATGGAAGAATCATAGATACTGCGCCGACCCCAAATAAAATTGAGATAAAGGCAGGCAGATGATGGTGTAACAGTGAACATCTAAGAGGTCGATACGCCAAGAGTTCGGTTGTTTTTTATTTCTGAACCTTTGTGGTTCTGAACCATCCTAATGCTTACTATATTTGCCGCATGGATATAAATCATGGCTTTGGAATATACAAGTATTTTCATATTAAAAATATATTCTGAAATGTTGTCATATAATTGAAAAGTAATAATAACTACAAAACTTCTTTAGAGTCAATTTCATAAATGTAGAACAGGTGGATTTTTTTAAGTTGCTTATTTCTTTACCGATATTAAATGTAAACAATTACCTTATAAGGAAGTGATTAAGTACCTACATAAGGAAATATTTACATTTGTAAGTTCTTGAATAATATATATATATATATATATATATATACGTAGTACATTAAAATTTACAATGTTGTGTAATTACATTTCATAAAGTAATATTTTGTATTAAAACTGTATGTGTAAGTGAAAATTGCTTTATTTTTAGTCTCCTAAAATATATCTTAATTTCTTATTCGCGATAATAAATGCCAATCGAAGATATGTATTGTTACCAATACAATTTTTACACTTGTTTTTAGTACATACTATACTTATAATTAGTCATTACACTTCTAAACATGCAAGGCACTCTTAGTCCCATAAAATTACAAAAATAACACACAATCATTTTGCTTAGAATTATGGGAATTGGTAAATCATTTTTATTTTAAAATCCTTTACTAAAAAAAAATGTCATTACCTCTCTTTACCTTTGCTTGCTCAAAAATAGTGTCTTCAGCAAACTTCACCTTCTTTTTTATAGAAACCTCGTTAGAGTCCTGGAAGGTAATTTGCTTTTCTGAACTATCCTGACTTCCTATCCGAGTCTTGCTGCCTGTTGTTATAATGCTCTTCAATTTTGGTGGCACTGCATCTTGTTCGCTTTTGGATGTCTACAAGAGGATCAACATTTATAATTGGTTTCTACTTCAAATATTACGTGATCCAAAAACGACAATATTTGCGGGTTTAAAAAAAATATATCACAAGAACAGTAAAATCAGATATGAATATACCTCTATATTTATGCTCTGAGCAGGGCTTTCTGTGTTTTCAATTTCTGATAGGGGAGAGTCTGCTCCTTGGTCAGAAAATAGTGGCCAGCCGACGACGGCAGAGTGCGTAGGAGTACTTGTGGTCACTGCTTGGGCTAGTTTCATCAGGTTTGGTAAATGAGAAGTGGGCGTAGTCATCTGTTGTTGTTGATCTAAAATTGGTAAATATAAAAAAGTGACTCGTTCACTTAATCCATGTAGTTTATTGATTTTAAATATTGATATATTGTTGGCCTGATATTAAACTTCACTGATTCTATAATATAATATATGCATAAACTAATTTCTTTTGATAAAATTTTATATTTAAAAAACAATCACGAGTAATACCCATATGCCATGGTGTAATCACATTATAGTAATCGGGGAATGTACCATTACTGCGAATAGGTGTTTCTTTTCTTTATTTTAAGGATTCAGGTACATAATTTGATTTATCTTGATCGAATTAAAAGGTATTAGGAACAACCAACATTTTTTTAAATTCGCTCTTTTGGAATTACCTCTGGACCTCGTATAAAATATTCAATAGCTATAATAATATTTTTCTTTCTTTTTACTTTATTTCTTTTTCTTGTTTTTTTTTACAAATAACTCTAGATCTTAGATCTTTATTACAATAAAAAGAAGTATTGTAGTTTTTAGTAACGTGATTTCTCACCTGAATCATTGTTTTCAGTTCTCGATGGTGTAGTGTTATCAATAGGAGATCCACCAAAGTTATCTTCTCCTATCGTTTCCTCATACTCTTCTACAACTTTTTGTCTCATTAAACTTAGTAATTTCTTTGTATGGGGAGTAGCAGCTCTCTGTTTCTTTAGTTTGGGTGTTTTTGGGACTAATTTTGGATAAGGAGTTGTATTTTTTAATTTAACTTCAGCTTCACTGTCACTGGATTCGTAATCTACTAAATGTTGCTTCCTTACTATAGGAGTAATTACAGCCGTTTTATTATTCTTATTAACAGATATTATACCTTCGAAATTATCTAAACCGTTATTATTAACTTTTTCGTATAAAGATTCAAATTTCTCATATACTTCTTTGAGTTGCGGTGTATTAATTTCAATTTCCTGCCCCATTATTTCAGAAATACTTGTACATTTATCTACACCAAAGAAATCATCCATTGTGTTGAAGATTTTGTTACACTTTTTACAATACAACGGAATATGCTCTGTAACAAGATGCTCAATAAATTCTTGATTTAGTTTTTCTGGTTCACAAAAGAATTTGAAGCCTCGACAGAGGGGGCAGTCGTAAGTGAGACCGTGGGTCGTCTTCTCGTGTCTACGTCGACAGTCAGCGCAGCAATAAACTAATTGACACACTATGCAACGAGTCTGGAAGGGATAAGTCAACAAACATATAAGTTACAAGTACTCAGATGTATTTCACTAATTAATGTTGCCACATGTTTCTGATGTCTAAATGAATAGAATACATAAAGGTCAAATTTATAACAGATTGGGCTTAGTAAAGATCAAGAAAGTTATAAGTTTTGAAATCGGTTCATTATCAATTATTTCATACTTAATATTATATGGTGAAAATACTGTAAAATAATAGATATATTAAGACGCTTACACGTCCAATGCTAATTTGAAAAATAAATTGAAAATGACAGTACTTTTGTGAAGTAACGTAATGGAGACACGCGGCCAGTGCGTCTGCCGTCGGGCGCCAGTCAACATTTTGAGAATATGTATTTATACTCACATTGACCTACTTACCAAAATATATTGTTATAAGTTACTTTAAATTAAATTGGACAAAAAAATTTATTAAAAGTAGTAATCGTTGTTTTCAAAAGATTATCTTTTTTTTTCTTTTATACAATTTATACAAATAAATAAAATTGAAGTGTCTGTTTGTAATGTCAAAAAAATCGGTTTTTTTCATGCTCACACGGTTATTTATGCCTAAAAATCAGTTTAAAAAAAATGACTGTCTTTCTGTCTGTTCCGGGTAATCATTGGAGACTGAGTTTTGCGACAAATGAATATTTATTTATTGAATACCACTAACGAGGTCATTAATGTGTATGTATAATTCATACATTCCATTTCATTTGTGGCTGTAAATAATGCATAAATCGAAACCGATAAAATTAACTTCACGAAGTCATCCAATTAATGACAAGTACGAACAACCATAGTTACGAGAAAGATCTCTTTTTTGAAATTTCATTAACCATTCTCAATTCCCGAGCGCCGTGAATGAATATATCGCGTTTATCAAATTATGTTAAGTGGAAGCGTCACTTAGCGTAATTTAATAAACGCACAGATTCGCAATACTGTATATGAACAAGAAATTCTGATAAGACTCGATGGGAAATATCGTATGGGAAATGTCGCTTCGTATACCTTTGATGTTTCTGTTTGAGAAGATGTGTAGTTACGTCAATTTGAATTTGTAGCAAAAAGATGACAGAAGGTTTCTATTATTTTATATTTTATGTGTCAGGTTGTATGATTTTGTACACGTACAACCCCCAAAATCTCTACCGCTATTAGTATGATGGAAAATTTAAATTCGCATTGATTTAGAGTTTTATTCAAATTTATTTTGCCTAATTATGTCTGAGTTATATCTTATCAGTTCCTAGCAAATGTTTTTTTAAACATTTGCGAGGAACTGCGTGTCTCAGTATATTTATAAGGCAGTAGTTTTTTATTTTATTTTAAAGTTAATTAAATTATAGTTTGAAAAACTAAAAAACACGCTTTTGTAACTAGCCGAACTAAAAAGTAAAAAAGAATTTTCGATAACTTCAAAAAGAAAATTTTTTTTCATAGTTTTTTTAAACTATAATTTAATATGCTTTTTTAGTCATTAATGATAATTATTTTTTCATTAAGACTAAAAAAGTAAGTAAGTCACATATGCTTCAACATACGCCTCTTAGTAGGTAGCAAAAAACACTACCGTCTTTAAGGTATGGAAAAGCCATTAAACCTGAGGATCCCAATCAGGACAATCTGCCAAATTTATTAAATTATTGTATTGTCATTGGTCCTTGATAAGTGTGCGAAGTTTCAATTTAATTTGACGATTTGAAGGGGGTTAAAATCACGTTTGAAAATTCCCTTACTTACATACAGACCTAGCTAATAAAAGCGTGTTAAACATAATATGTATACATATACTGGGTCTACTAATAGGGATGACCTGGTTTTGACAGCTCATAGCGGCCATGTTTGATGATGGATCTTTGACGTCTCTTGACATTTGTGTTCAGTAAGGTTTGCCATTTTATCATGTCACGTTTCACTTTAAACCAACGCTTGGAAATTGTCCAAAACTTTTTGAAAGTGACGAAGGAAACCCTGTTACTGTGATTGGCGAGCGCTATAACTCGATGTTAACCGAATATTTGTTTCCGGAATTTGATGGTATTGATGCAGACGACCTTTATTTTCAACAAGACGGTGCACCACCTCACATTACTCGAGTGAACATGGAATTATTGCGTGGAAAGTTTGGTGAGTCGTTAATTACGACAAATGGACCGATCACTTGGCCACCAAGATCGTGTGATTTAACACCTTTAGACTATTTTCTTTGGGGTTACGTAAATCTAAAGTGTACAGCAATAATCCAGCTACAATTCGTGACCTAAAAACCAACATTCGACGAGCCATAGCCGACATACCGGCCGAAATGGTACACCGCGTCATCGAAAATTGGCGTGACCGTCTGCAAAAAGAGCCGCGGCGGTCATTTGGCCGATGTATTATTTAAAACATAAATGGCATAAAATTATCTATCAAATAAATCAATTGGATGCATTTTTCATCAAAAATTGTGTGTTTTAAACCAGGACGTTCTTATTGGTAGACACCATATGTATATTTATTTTTAAATCCTAAATTACGCCGATAACGTAATTAAAATAAAATTGTTTAAAGTTTGAGACAAGGACGAATAAAATATGTGTTATATTATTTTATAAGGTGATTATACAAATGTAATTTATAAGGTATCAACAGCTCTTGTTAAGTAATAACATAATTCAGGACACGGCAATTAACGTTCATATCGGTGCAGCCTCCAATTACTGATAGTGATAAGGAAATCGTAGGGGCTGTTTCTGCAAATTGTATGGTGTAGATAAGGGGCGAAATAGATGAACGGTGGAAATGGGTCATTTGATACAATATACACGCTATTAACAACGATTAAGGGGATGAATTGAGGGTAAATTAATGTTTTAGTGCAGATACTAAAATATTTTGTTTACTCGTAACAGAGTTCTAATACTAATTATGTGTTTTTTGTTTGTTTTAGAATAGAATGTATTTCAGCTCACATATGAAAAGTGACTAAAAAGTCAAAGTTGGAAGTAAAATGTCAAAAACAAACTAAATTCTTGAACTGTATTTACGTGTAAAAATTAACTTTAATAATAAACCGAATTATAATATTGTTTTCACTTTCGATCATGTAAGATGAAAGACTGATGCTAAAGAAAGACACACATACACTCAAATTAATAAATATTACGATCATTATAGAAGGGTCGGGTCGGCTTCCCAGAAAACCGCAAAAAAGACAAAAGATCAATATTCTGTAAAGCATATCATTATATTTTTATAATGTTTTATGTCAGACAAAGCGACCTAACTCCACACTCAACATCTGAAATTGAAAACATAAACAAACACACTCAAATTTCCTAGAAAGTCAAACAGTTTGGTTGAATTTCTGAAAGCTGTATTCGTGAGACCGGCTTACCAAAAAGGGAAAGCTTGTACCTGTAAACCACATTACCGAATGGACTCGTACAGTTGAGGACACAAGTTTTGCTCCCCTATCTTTGAAATAATATTTAAAAATTGAATTTGTTTAATTTATTTAAGTGTTATTAAGTTAGGAGCGTGTTGTATATATACACTTTTAAGGTCTGTGATTTCATGTGAAGTGAAGCTAATAATGTTGACAGCACGGATGGCGCAGTGGTTTAAGCGGTCGCCACGCCACATGCGCTGAGTGTTGTGGGTTTAAACCCCACATGGGACGACACTTTGTGTGATCCACAAATTGTTGTTCTGAGTCTGGGTGTTTCTGTGTCCGTTTCATCTATGTATGTAAAGTCCCCCGCGTCACAGGATATATTCCTAATGCGGGAGTTGTCTTTTTTAAATGAAACAATAAAACTTCGTAGATCTCTGGCAACATGACATTTTAACGAATCTTTATGTAAGTTGTCCTGTTAAGTGTTTGTGGTAGGTTAGGTTTTCCAAGACAAAAATATGAATATACTCCATAAACAGCACATTGGAGCCTGATCTCCTGTCTCAGTATTAAAATCACCACAATAAATTATAAAATAAACTTACAAGCAACTTTTGTGTGTCGTTCTATCTATCTGTTTGAACGCGATAAACTCCAAATGTGCCTAATCGATTTTTATGTTGATCTCACCAACGGATAGACTGATTCAATAGATTTCGGAACATATTTTTGTAAGGTTTATCATAAATTTACTAAAATATGAGGACGACAGTTAATGATGTCAAAAAAAAATATACTAGAAGCTTTACGGACGTGCGTTAAAATAACCATTAGATTTATAAACACAATAATTTATTTTTAAATAGCTATTAAAATATAACAAAGTAACTTGTGGTCTAAAATATCTTATCTCTTTTAATTTTATCCAGATTAAAATCCAAACTATTCTAAACAATGATAATTAAGAAAATGAAGGCATAATCTATCTAATACCTTTAAACGAGCAGTTCTTGTACATATATTATATATATACATATAATCTGAATCTCGGAAACGGCTCCAAAGATTTTCACAAAATTTAGTATGCAGGGGGTTTCGGGGGTGAATAATCGATCTAGCTAGGTTTCACTTTTAGAAAATTTACCAAAAAAAAAAAATACATCATCATCCAGGTACTATATCCCAAACTGAGCTAAACTTGTGGACCTAATGTAGTTTGCCAGTATTTTATAAATATAATATCATTCTATAACGATTCATTTAAACATAAATCAAGTTTATATATACAGATTTACTTGAAACACCCTCTTAAGAAGGACTAGTGGTAGTGATATATCTTATCGCTTTTATCATTAGCACAACGACTCTTTCAACATTTTAGACTTTTATG